GTATTGTTTGCAATGCAATGCAAAATGACTTCAAATAACCATTAATTGATATAAAGAGCGGATTGTATCGAATGCCTGATTGGCTGTCAGCCGACGCCAAAGATCTGATCCGATCGATGCTTAAGATCAATCCAAGCGAACGCATCACTATCGAGAAGATCTTAACCCATCGATGGCTAAGAGATGAGATGATTGGTTCAAACACTTGCGTTCAAGTGATGAAAGCAAATCTGGACGAAGAAGTCTTCTTCCAGTGTCACCGACTCTTTCCAGAGGTTCCGCTCAAAGAGTTGCGACAAAACATTTTGCATGGATTTGGATACCAAACGGCCTGTTATTGGCTGCTGAAGATGAACGCCAACACCGTTCAGGTATTCATCACTTAATGCTATGAAATAGATTTGCTTTCATTTACCATATCATTGATTGCAATGAACAGCCGCTGCCCTTAAATGTGGTTAATTCGCCGCTAACTCTCAATAAGCCAACTGTCCAAAGACGACGGTCCAAGAGTGTGGACGACACCATCAACAATGAAAACAGTATTACTTTTGGAGTTAACATTTGTGTCGTATTTGTGATAATTTATGATTTGATCCCTATTTGCAGACATTCGGCCCAAACTGAAGCGTAAATTCATAGATACCGTGAACTCTCCGATGCCTAACCTTCCCAAACGGCTGATGCTGGACGTGAAGACCTCATCGCCCGGCAAGTCTCCCAACACTAGAGTCCCGGTTTTGGTCTCGCATTCACCGAAACTCACGCCAAACGCAAAAGACGAGCGAAAGCTAAAGGAAATCAAATCACCCGTCAATTCGCCAGTGATTGCCAACAGAAAGGCGCGACTCTTCCATGGCTTGAATGACAGCTTCAAGAGTCCGCTACTGAATCCCAGTGCGAGCAACGATTGGACTAAAACTGCATTCAATGCCCCGATTGAATGCACGCCTAAGAAGTCACTGTTGAAGCGCTTCCTGGAGACGGCCACACCCGCCAAGAGTCATACGCCCAGAGCTATCACCACATCGACGACAATGAAGAACATAACTCTCACCAAATTCACCGAACCCAACAAATGCATCGATAAACTCATTGAGACGTTGACTGCGAAAGGCATTCAATGCAAACAAAAAGAGTGAGTCATAGACTGATTGCGATTGAGACCAATTGTGGCCACAATTTATTCATTTACTAAAACCCATCCATACTTTAGTTTCTCTTTGCGGTGCGTATTGTCGACCAATAATGTGATTGTGTTGTCGTTTAATCTGGAAATCTGTAAGTTTGACAATCAGTGTGTC